GAGTACAATATTCAAACTAGAGGTGCAACATCAGCACACTCTTCAATTGAACCTTTGCAATTTTCGAAAAATCCGATATTTTGACTAAAATGAGTCCTACACCATTCTCTTAAGCGTCCTTTGTACTATCCGAAGATAAAGTTTAATCAAGAAATTGGAAGCCGTGTTTGAAAAAAATTCGAAATGTTGTTGAGACTTCGTATAAAGAACTTTCAAAAATCAGAATATTCATTTTAAATTCAAGGGTTAATTTAAATCATCATAGAATATCGATTTTGGAAAAAAATCGGCTAAACAATTTTAGCGTGTGTTGACAACAGGCAGACAGATCGACAGACGAATAGACTGTAGATTTGCTGTCAATCTACATTTCGATATCAAGGACCCACAAAACATGTATTTTGACTGCACAACGTGGTAGAGGAAGTAATTTAGTATGTATGGGAAGAAAATGTATTCACTTTTTCGTTATCAAGTTCCGGCAATAAGAGTTTTCCTGTCAAAAATTCGCCATTTTCTGACACACGATCACAACAATTTCTCTTCCTACAAAGTAAGATCGAGAAAGTAAAAACTACAAGGCAGCCTTTTGAGAAGAATTGGGGTTCACTCCGCCACGGCAGAGCCTCATTAAACGCCCCGCTGCCTCGGCTGGACCCGGTGGCTCAGGCGCGCGTGCTTTGACCCCGTCGTTATCCTCCAATAATAATACGCCTCGGCTCGTCGCACAGGCATGTCGCCCTCCTTTGTCTAGCGAAACGGCCGGTTGGCGCCGTCGGACCACAAACAAATAATGTGGCTTTTCCTGGAATCGTTACTATGTTTACAGATGGCTCAGATGCTACCTGCCCGACACCTCTGGGGTCTGCCGTTCCCCATCTGAGCTGCAAAGCACAAAGCCCTTTTGTCTTTGACCGCAGCTCCGGTATGTGTGTTGAGTTAAATGAGGCCGTGTCAAGAGTCAAGAGTGGTGATGTGTCAATGCTCAAAATTAAAACATTTCATAACAGTCTTACTTCGGAGAAAACATCATATTCTAATCGTTTTAAAGGAATAAATTTTATATAATTTCAGTAGGGAAAAGGCACATCTATTTATTTGTTCAAAAAAATAAACTTTTTAAAAACCTTGTATGAAATAAAAGTCTTAAATGGTTAACGTAAAAATTACCTTTTTTAAACATTATTCATAAACATTAAGTAAGAACGGAATTGTTTCCCGCGTACGATACTAATTTAACCAATTCTTTAATAAATTTTATATTTTTAATCTTCATCTATTTTTTATGATTTTACGATGTCATAATTAATCAGCAGTGGCGACATACTTCGCATATCTTACTGCAAAAATACCCTAGTGTGAAGAACGCAGGCAACCCACCATACACAACCGTGTAAGTGACAAGCTGTTCCAGAAATTACCCTACGCTATGAGCAAGTGGGACGGATAGCTACTCGTAAATGTTGCCGGCAATAAATAGGGTTATTAGTCTCAGCGAAAATTATCTTCATGTGCGATTCACCCACATCTAATACTGTGAAGCTGGAAAAGCTCGAAATAGCTTTCGCAAGATGTGGAGTGACGGAGATTTAAACGTAAATCTAAAAGAAGATTTAGCAGAGCGGCGAGATTTGATGAAAACAAGTATGTTTCTGGGAGGCTAATGTGTTCAGAGTATATGAAAAAATTTTACAAAAACATTCCATGCTTTAGGAAAACTATTAATGTTATTTGTTAAAACTTTAAGACAAATTGATAATAAGTCACTTTCGTGATTAAGACACAGTTTTTTCTGTTTTAAATTTGCATAAATGTTTATTGATGAGTACAATTTACGCTTTAGGTTTAAAGCAACTTTATTATTACTTGCAGTTTAAGTTAACACAACAATTCAGTTCATTTTCTCTTAATTTGTGCTGCTGCTTAATAGTCTCAGACACTCGAATGACAAAGAAGGCCAGCGAGTTTTTAAAGTGAATTTCATGCAATGCGTAGGCAGAACATAATAAGACACTAGAGAATATTTATGTTAACAACATCGTTATAAAGAACTGGTATTGCCACAGCTAATGAATAAGGTATAGTGAAAGTCACTTGGTATTTAAATTTCTTAAAATAGCATTACAGAAATATGCATAAGTGGACTATAAAAATTAAAATGAATTATCGACGATCATGTAACCAGTATACAATATATCGTCTTCCACACACCCAACATCTAAAAGATATACAACAGATGATACACTTTTATCACAATTGCGTAACGGATTTTAAAAGGTAAAAATATGAAGGTGCAACCTAAAAACACGTATGAATATTAATAATCTTGGTAAATGTGTCAACTTCTTTTTGAATCATAATTTACAGCAGCATCGATCGACATGATTATTCTTCACAATTTGTAATATCAATCAAGATAAAAATTAGAGACTTCGGTCTGGGTTCTAGTATTTGCGTAACTAAAAATGCAAATGGTAAATTCTAAATTTTTTATTTTTTATTATTATAAATAAAATTGTCATCTTCATAAATAAATTTGTTTCAGAACAAACTCATACAAAATGGTTTTCCAAAACATAGCACTCACAATGTTCAAGAACAACAAATAACATATTCTGGTTTACCACATCAATAAATTATTCTAAGGCATGTTAAGCAAATTACGTTTTCATAATTTTTGAAAAATCAAAAAATACATTAATTCGGCGTTCATGTCATGTTATTTACTGCTTTTAAATTCGGAATACCATAACAAAAATCCTTCCAAATTTACACTTTATGTATCAGTGCTTTATGGTCTCATATTCCGACTGAAACTTGAAAACTGTGTGAGGAAACGTCTTTAGATTTGTGTTTGCGTTGCACAATCTAAATTATAAAACTCTCGAGGTAGTTTGAGCACTTGATGACTTGGGCGAAGTTACGACAATGATTACCCAATAGAAATCAGCTCAATTTTCATCATCCTTATCTCTAGAAGGAGACCTCGCAAATCCTTCCTTTATTAACTGAAAATAATCGGAAGAACGACCACAATACCCTTAGAAACAGGATTTTCAAAGTATTAATTAACGTATAATTAAAGGATTTCTTACGTAGTAATCGAGTAACCTCGTCCTATACTCCACCTGACCCTCACTCACAGACAGATCACTTCCGATCTTCCAATCGAGACAAATGAGATGTCAATCGACACATTTCGGTATCCTAATGTGGAACTCATCATGTTTTTGCGGAACCATCCAGAAGATTCTAAGAAATGTATCTAAAAAGTGGTATTTAACGCAACTAAAAAGCTTTTGGGGGTTATTTACGGCACCTACAGAGGTAATTATTATCTCATCCCATTTCTCTCGACAAGAAAATGGATTGGCACAATTCTTACCGGCTTCCTCTAGGATGTCCTGAAAAATCTAGAAAAACATGTGTTTTGATGGTTTTAATGAGCCTTTATACATTGCTAAAAGTGTAAGTACCTATACATTGCTAAAATGCTGTGAATTACAACACTATTTCAGACATTTTAATGAAACGTTATAACTTGAGTCCTCAGATCGGCGATAATGAAAGCAAATTTAGAATTGCAACAAACATGTTACTATTTATTTAAATCTATAGATTTTCATGTAACTTTCTGAGCTCAAAAATGGTCGGTCCGGCATCTGCAAAATGTTTAAAATGTATGTTTATTAAGAACGTTCAAAGCACAAATTAAACTTTAAAACATAAAAATATCAGCCGAAGGGGCTTCGCTCAGCCATTTACAAGATATTTCTGCTAACTGTATAAGAAGTAATAAAGCTAAAGACAAAATTGATATATAATCAAAGATCAATATCTCCAATGCGCGAGAGAAAATAAATAGTTCAGCATATCTAGGTTTGTCTATCTTATAATAATGTTGAAAATCACCTCCTGCCGTACGCTTCCAGTTATGAATGGATATAAAATTAATTTAAAGCAAAATATGTAAAAACATTAACAATATTACAGGGATATTTTATGTTATTGCAGTGATCTTAGGGACAAATCAATCTGTATGTCTGGAGAAGGTTTCGTTTCTTTCATATTGGCATCGTTCTGAAACGCTCTCGTATATTTCACTCTCTTGCATGTTTCACTTGAACTGATTGCAATTGATTCGTGAGTCTTTGAGATTGATTCTTGTCACTGCGTCGTAGACTTTTGTTAACAGTTCTCTACAATACAAGTAGAATATGCTGTACATGAATGATTTGAAGAGACTCAAAAGAGATACCTTGTAAGCGCGTGTATATGCATGACAGGGAGAGAGAGAGAGAAAGGGAGAGAGGGAAGAGAGAGAACTTAAACACTCTCGAGAACTAAGCCAGCCAACCAATGTCCCGTCTAGTCAATGATGGTCGTGTAGTGCATAGAGGCGTAAGTGTGAATATATGTGTGAGGGAAGACGAGAGGTCAAGGAAGAGGCAGCAAAGATCGCGCGCAGTTCGTAGTCCTTTTGCTAGGGTAGCAATCCAGCATTCACCTGCCATTGATAGGATATACCGCGGAAATCTTGCTATCAGCCGCTAAAATTATCTACCAGACAGCAGAGCGGCTGAATTTGATCTAGCTACATATCTAGTGTTCAAAATCCCTCACAGTCGGGACCCGAATTCCCAGATCTCCCAATCACATTTGCTGCAGAGACAGCGGCAATTCTGTCTCTAAGGTAAACTCAGTAGGTAAGAAGGTTTGACATATCGAGGATTTCGTGTAATTGACTTATAATTTAGCGGAGGAAGACTACCGTCACCTTTCAAGAAAAATAGCATGCCCCACACTTACGGGACTAATGAGCTTAGCAGTTGGCGCGCAGTAATCACTAAGAATCAATCAATCTATCGACCGAAATTGGAGTTAGCAAGGTCTAGTGAACGTACTTTATAATAAAAAACAAAAGGACGAGAAATAGCATCACGAAAGCAACAAGGTTTCCACTTTCCCCCGTAAATCTCACGCTGGCCGTCTGCCCGCAGGCACAACAGGTGGCGCCACCGCCCCGCGTACAACGACAGGTCGGAGGAGGGCGTGGCGCGCGGGCGCGGCGGGCGCGGCGGGCGGCGGCGCGGTAACCGCGATCCAGCGGCGGCGGCGCGCCGCGACCAGCGGCGGTGCGCGGCGAGCCCACCGGGGCGCCCTGGCGGGCGGCGGCGGCGCCAACGGGCCGTCGCCACTGGAGCGGCGGCGTCACAAGACGTGCAGTGGGGCGCCGTGAGTATCCCGCACCGCGGGCGCCAGCGTCACTGCTGCTCCGTGCTCCGAGGGCAGCCGCAAGGTACGAGCAACCCCTTCCACTCAGCGGCTCCCCACATCCTTTGAGCACAGGCTTGGTTGGTTACATTATTACCGACATTAAATGTTACATTATTTTCGGGAAGATGTTTGGATTGACCTTTTTTTTGCTTGTGGGCAAAAATGTAGTTTCATTATACGCTCGTTTTGTTCCTTTTGATAGATCATGCGCCCTCCTTTTGCTATTGTAGGAGGAGAGCCTGGAAAAGGTTACTATGTTAATAGCAATACAAAAGAAATCAAATCTGCAGATTTTTTACCGATGCAATTAAGTTTTCTACAATACGGGAGTAAAAATGTAGAGATTTCAAATGTTGCTAACCATACTCTTTTTGAATTTTTTTTTCGCCATTCAACTATTTATAGTTAAAATGTTGGGAAGAGATTCTGCATCTCAAGAAAACGTGCGCAAATGGTACTTCTCCCCTATACGTCACATACAGTTTTTACTGTTCTTTGACTAAATAAATAAAATCAAATGTTACAAACTTCTAGGACATCTAGAGGAGTCAGAGATGATCACTTTTTTCAATGAACCTGTGGTGTGATATTTCGTATAGGGATGTTACACACGTGACACTTGCCCTTGATTGTTGGCTGTCACATGCACTGATGTGCGGCAGGTCACGTACTGACGCAGTCGAGGAGATTTCGCGTATCAGCCGAATCCCAGGACTCTCCCAAAATTACGAGTCCTAAGCCCAGGCTTAGTAAGTCTCTTGCTGAAGTCACACAGTACGTACGGTTTTGTTTCCTTGCGCATTTTTTTTCTGACAAATCCGATTTTTCCTGCCGGTCCACTAGAAGAGGGGTGTCCAAATGTAAGAATTACGGCCGGTTGGCCGTTGGAATGACCCATGTGCCGCTCGCCTGCCACCAGACTAGAGCTCTTCCTTCCTCCCCACCCTTTGGGCTACGGGCCATGGACCACGCGCGATCTTATCTTCCCATTCCTTGTCCTATGCTACCCCTTACTTACATACATTGACACAACACCACTCCATATACCGGGAGACAGGTCGGAAGCTAAGAGTTTGTCTAGGCTGGGACGGTGCCCCGATGGTGGGAGATACCTTGATTCGGAAAACACCGTTAACCGATGGTAGGTTGGCGCTCGATCTCACCACACAGAGGGAGGAAGATCGCCACCACCTCACGCGAGCAAACACGCACTACACTTATGGGACTACTGACCATAGCAGTTGACGCGCCCGGAAACACTAATCAAAAAATAAAAGCCCTCTGGGCTGACCCAAAACGCAGCAGTCAAACTCCTGTGGCCCACAGACAAACGCTGGGCCAGGACAAACTGATGTATGGCCTGCTTGAGCAACCCTGCACCAGACACTAACCGCTGACCCATTCTGCTTTGTGCTTGGAGCTTGATATTTCTGACTTGTAGTGACGCTGTCAGTGGTTTCGTTGCGTCGAGCAATCGGAGTGGCATCTCGGGTGACGTAATATACCCTTGTAGCACAAAGACAGCGCAAAGAAATAAAGGGGATACTGCGACATGCGCTTTGCTATAAAGCACGCGCGCTAAAACGCACGTGCAGAGAGCACTTGGCATGGTAGATAACGCGAGGCACACCCGTGACGCGCAAACAAGGATGGTTTGATATATAATATTTAAGCGACTGCTCTTTTTTGCACTGAACCGAACGAGAAACCCTCTGAAACACGATTTACTCGAAAGGTGGAAATCGAACGTCAGGTTCGGGAAGAATTCTTTTTATGTCCGACATGCTGAACCGTAAAGTAAATAAGCACGTGTTCTAACTACAAAAAATCATTATGCGCCTGAGAATCACAAGAAAAATCAACGGAAAACTCAGTCAAGGTGGAAGATCTATACCCAGGAACAATTATATATTCAATGTTTTCGATAACAAACTTTAAGGGAACAATAATCATAACGATCGATTAATAATAATTAATAATTCTCAAGCCCTAAAAAGTAGATAAATTGGACTGAATGGTGGCGTCAAGATTGGCATAAGACACAAAATAATTTCTTTACAGGGGAGCATTTTGAAATTGTGTGTCGAACATATTTCTAACCTTCACAAAAACGCAGAGAACAACATTGACTTATAACTACATTTGCCGCTGAATATCAGTTAACATCAAGAATTCCGAGACATCTGCAAGAAATCTACTTTATCAATAAGAAAAGTTAAAACCCGCCGAGATTGTGGTTTATGATTACGCAACCCTTCATACTTTTAAATTCGGACAAAAGTTATAAAGATTTGTTACTATCTTTCTGGTGATAAGCTGTGTCTACCGAAACATTGAATAATTCCTCTTTTAGATAGAACTCTTAGATAGACGCGCATATTTTATCTGTTTAGGGTTTAAGAGTTCAGAAAACAGATTTAGCATCAGGTGAAAATGGAAGACAACATACAATTAACTTATGTACTAAAATAAAAACAATATAACACAAGGCGCATATCGTAAATACATTCCCGGTTACAAATTAATTTTAATAGTTACACCAAATGCATTGCATATCAGATGCAATACCGCAACCGGAAGTGCATAAGCACTGAAGTTTACAAAATTATATGTAAAATATTTACTGTTTAGTGAGAACCTGATACAATTGAGAACTGAGATATCAGGGATTCCCACTGTAGAAGCCTGGGTTTATATTTTTCATTGGTTATTGATCGGCCAACCTTTCCACAGGCATCCTTGCGATCTCCATCCTATCTTCAACTGTCTGCCTCATTGTACAAGATAAAAACCAAAATAACATCCTAAAGCAACAAAATATTGATGACATTTGTATGAAATAAATGAAAAAGTATTTCTAATTGTATCAAAAAGTATTCAATTATTATTTAAATACCGCGTTCTATACTGTGGTGAAAATGTTACATTATTTCAGGGGAAATGTTTCTATTTACCCCATTTCGGATTAATATAGAAACACAGTTTTTAGCCAAAATCAAGATAAGGTGAAACGTTACCGACGGTAAAAGAATTGGCGTGGAGTTCTTTTGTCAAGGTAAAGTGGAAAAGCTATCTAGCTTCATCACCAGGAATATTCGTTGTTGTAACACTTCTTTCTCGAAACTTCTCCTCAACAGACGTAATTGAATTGATTGGAATTGTGGAATGTGTTGGTCGTTTCATTTGCGAAAGCGCAATTTGAACAAAAAAAAAACAATTACATCACCGAAGATATTATGATGCCTATCTCGACATTAAATTTCTTTTATACCTGTGTAAAAAAGGAATTAATATTAGGATGGTAAACAATGATCCATTTTTGCTGGTTATTATATTTTGGAAAATTGTATCAACAAAGTTAAACATATAACTTCCCTTGATTGATAGGTAACTTAACATGCATTGGTGTATGGCAGGCATACAAAATAGCTGTGCATCAGAATGTATTTCTGCCAAACACCCATGCACAATGAGTTGCCTATCAATCAGGGGCAAATGTTGCATGTTCACATGCGTAACTTTCATTTATCACATTTTCATGCTCTGATAGTTCGTAACAATTATTCGGAGACACTTTTATAGTGCGAAAAAACTTCCAAGAAGGTACTCGAGCTATACTGCACCGAAATGCAATATTCACCATTTGAGTAAAGGGAAAAATGCAATAATCAAATTGCTGACACAAATGAAAGCACTTTTAAAACGCCTAGATGTAGTGTGTGTTCAATTCTTCAGGTTGGGAACTATACATTTAACTACCCTCACCATGTATTTTATTTCCAAAAATAATCGGTATTTTTTACCGATTGTATTACTAAAACACTGTACTATACTTTACTGTACAGTGTACTTTAAACAACTTTATTCTCAGAAACGTAATGGGTTATCCTCCCAGGCCATTAGACCCCACGAAATCTCCCCTGCGAAGCAAGATACCACCCCGCTCACTAAAAGCTGTGGCTACGGTGATCAAAGGACCCTTGAAAACGAGGGTCTGCGACAAAGACAAGGGCCGGCCGCCGAGCGTCGGCTCATAAACGTCGTGTTTCACACGCGGCTGCCCCAACCTCCCCCACCGTCTGACTCCCCGACACGCGAAGCGGGCGAGATGCGGCGAAGGACAAGGTGCGCACAGCGCGGCACGGCCACGGCACGGCACGGGAACGAACGGCGCGGGACGCAGAGGCGACAAGGCCGGCCCCGACACAAAAGAGAATTTTTAGGCGCGCACTCCGCCGCGGACGCATGGCGGATCAGAAGGAATACGGGAACTCGCTAAGTCATCGACGGCTGCCGTCGGCCGCCCCCGCAGCGCTCGCCTCCCCGCATCCCCTTGCCTCGCCCCTTCACCATGGCCCCGCGTCGCTCCTCCCCCGCCCCCGCCACGCCTCGATCCAACCCTGCCCAACACATTCCCCATCCCGCACCTATCGCACCCAACCGAGCCCCGCCACGCTCCTCCCTGCCTCCACCCGCACCTCCCCGCCCCGACCATTCCCCACGCCGTCCCTCGCGCTCCTCCCAGACCAGACCGCCCCCGCCACGCTGCCTCCCCGTCCCGCCTTGATCCTCCCACGCCCCGCCTCAATCCCCCTGACCAAGCCCATCCCCACCCCCGCCCCCCCGCGCCCAGCCACGTCCATCCCGCTCCTCCCCGCCTAACACCGCCCCGCCCCGCTCCACCCCGACCAGCCCAGCCTCACCCCGCCGCTCACACAAACACACGTTCGCTAGGCAAGAGGTTAAAACTTGGCTCGTCTTTAATATCATATTAATGCAGGAAGCCAATCTGAATAGTGCATAGGTTTCGCTGCGCATCGCCCTAAGCTAGGACCGTCAGTTCCAATCTTCCACAAGGCACGAATATATTATCCACGCTATTGTGGCATGAAACGTAGAAGGGAAACCATTACGACTCCCATTTAAATAATCATTCAAAGCTTCGTAGTTGCTCAGAAATGTGAAGCATTACTACTCCACACGTGGCTGTCATTATCCCTAAGACACAAAAGAAAACGGCT